GATAATTTATTTCCGGATTCTCTATTCTATTCATTGGTCTATTTGTCTCCCACTGTACTCAAACTACTAGGCTTGGCTGACCATCAGAACTGTATAGTGCATTTAGAGGTTGTGAAGTGCTAGGCCTCCTACTTTGTTCTTCTTTAGTATTGCTTTGATTATCCTAGGTCTCTTTCATTTCTGTATACAATTGGTGTTGATTTTCCCTATCTCCTCGAAGAATTGGAATTGCCTTAGAGGTCACTTTGGGTAATATTGACATTTCACAATGTTAAGTCTTCCTACCATGAATATGGTATATTCTTCCACTCGTGTAGGTCTCTTTTGGCTTCTTGCGGTACTTTGTAATTTTCTTTGTACAAGTCTTTTGTTTCTCTCATAAGTTTATTCTTAAGTATTTCATCTTTTCTATGGCTATTGTGAATAGAATTGTTTTCTTGATTTCTGGTAGTTTCAATGCCTTGGTTCAGTAAGGCCTTTTGGCTCCTGATAGTGCTCATTTGTTTACACCATTCTTTTTGGTTTCTTTGTATGAACTCCAATTGTCTATTGTCTCCTAGACATCATGGTGTTTTTTATTTATTTTGTATACATTTGTTGATCAAGGGGTTCTGGAGCGGAGGATGGTTCTTGTCCACTAGATGTAGCTGTTAGAAATGTGGTGGTAGCTGGTTTGTTTCCACACAGTTGTCTCCATCAGGTGAAGCCACAAAGGAATAATTGTTTTTTCTTTAAGACAAATCTACAACAGTAAAAAGCAAGCATGCAAATGAAATAAATAAGCAGATAAATAGAATTATAAAAAAGAAAACCCCAGGCTAGAACCAGGAGCTGCTTCCTCGCTTTCCGTTACCTCTTGTTTAATATGTGCTTGTTAACATCTCACTCTGGTACACAGCGTAGGAGTGCAACCTGTGAGTATGCACACCTCCCTCGTCTGCTGGTTTTAAGTAGTCCTAAGCTGGTACTTTAAGACCCAGAGCCACAGAGCCCACAAATGTGTGTGTCCGGGCAGCTCCACCACTTTCAAAAGCAACACTAAGGAGGCTTGTTTGGGTCTGGAGCCTCAGAGCCTACAAACATGCGTTTAAAAAAATAGATGTAAGCCAGCTCACTTGTGCCCACTGAGAGCTTCCTCAAAGCTCCCCTCGCACCAAGCAGCACTGCAGCAGCCAGTGTCAGGCATGTGAAAGTCGGCTGAGGCCCCTCTGGGTACCAGTTAGTCATGGGGAAGTGGGAGGATTCAGTCCCACCTCCAGGAACATCCCGTGCTGTCGGTATTCAGTTCACTTAGCTTTTTCTTCTTCGTCAGATAGTCAGGACTCCAGGTTTTCCCCTGTACCTGTTGTAACACACCTTTTGTTCAGGATTGTGTACTGTGTTTGGCCTTAGTTGCCGTCTTGACCAGAAGTCCTTCATTCTTCTTACGTTCATTCAACAGAAACCCTGACTTTGTTCAGGACTCTCAGAAATACAATCAAAGGCCTGGGCACTCTAGAAGCCATAGGCAACTCCTGGCTCTGAAGTCATGTATGGTCTAGGCCTTTCATTTTCAGTCCTAGTTTCATTTAGCAAGATTGAAACCTTTCTCCAATTAACAACGTATGCTTATGCTTTTAATGCCTTTCATTTCTTTGAGGCGAATGTAACTCATCTGAGGAAGCATCCCAATGGATTTCCTATACAACATGCTCTTTCACTGCAGTCTAATGTCTCGGCTTTCAGTATTCAGGGACTGCTCCATGGGCATTTTACGGGAGAAAGAAGATAGGCCAACTAATGATCAGCTAGGGAGGGGCAAAGAAACCTAAGTGGCTAGGCCAGAAAATGAAAGAAAGACACCACACATTGTAAAGAATGACAATAATTTTTTTTCTTAAACAGGAGTATCAGTGAAGGTCATGTCATCCAAGAAGTGACTGCAGTATAAAAAACCAAATCAAGTCCACAAACATCATATGTCAATTCTGACTCACAGTGATCCGAGATCAGGTTTCCAACACTGTAAATCCTTACAGGAGCAGGTAAATCTCATTTTCTCCCAAGGAGCAGCTGGCAAGACTACACCATCTCCCTTTTGTTAGCAACCCTGTGCCTCTTCCACGACACCATCACTCCCATCAAATAGAACAGCTCAGTGTTTCCGTCACTGGTCTCCAAGCATACAGTAAATGCTGTGTGAGTCACCCTAAGCCTGTTCAGATGATTTCTTGGATGCCACACAAACTCTTCCCATCGGTTCTCAGCGAAGAATAGAAAGGAGCTGCGGGATTGGCATCGGGCTGCTAACCACAAGGTCTGTAGCGCCTCGGCAT